GGGGGGTGGTTCTGGTGAAATTTGGGGTGGCTGCAGTCCCCTGGTAGCCCCTTCCCAGCACTGCTCACTCTGAGCCCAGCCCCTGCCAAGAAGAACCTGACGCAGCCCTGGCTTCAGCCCGCAGCTGTAGCCCACCAGCCCGACCCTGCGCAGATCTGGGGGCACACACCCCACTTGTGCCCTCCCTGGGTGCACGCAATAGTGGGAGCTGCCCCCCTCCCCACACAGCCCCCCAGATGAGCCGCCGCAGCCGCCCACCCCGGCTGGGGAGCATCTGCCGCTGCCCTCACCACAAGGGGGTATTTATCTGCCCCCTGCACTCCTTCCTTCCCCTTCCACCACAACAAAGTTACCAGCTGGATGCAGCTTTATCAGGAAATCGGATCAGTATTGGCCAATATGCGTCCTTAAAAATTGGGTATTGGTATTGGCCCCCAAAATCTCTATTAGTGTACCTCTACTGTTTGGCTATATCTAACTTTCTGAAAAGTGACAATATACTGATCGTAAAGCAACTGACTTTCTCTTTCTTTACAACTGCAGTAAGCCACCACCAAAGTCAACCTTTGAACATGTTGACAGAAAAGATCCTAAGCCAGATCCTATCAATCTCAAAGGCACTTCTAACTGCACTGTTCAACATTTAAGCACCTTGCCTGCGGTAGGTCAATCTTAACTAGGCAGGTTAGGTACAAGAGGTTTTCTATAGAGCAACTGGGGAGACATCAGACATCTCCCAGGTGTGGTCCAGACTGCCCAGTCATTCAGCAAGGATGTTATCTTTCTCCTTCGTGCAGAACTTCAGGGCACTTGTACATATGTGCATGCTGCAGTGCCGGGTGCTTTTAAAACGGCCCATTGCTGTGACACATATTTGTATAAATAGCAAAATGTGCGTCAGTGCTGAGAAAATGGTGGCATCGCGCTTTTTAAACGAAAACATCCAACGTGTTTTAGTTCAAAAGCACACCACTGCCATTTTCTGCGCGCTGACACGCATTTCACCATTTGTACAAATGCATTCAATGCAGCGCCAGGCGCATCGGCTCACATGCTTTGTAGACTCAATTAATCGAGTCTGCTCCAACACGCTGGATTACCAGCACATCGGAGCAGACAAAGGTATGTGTATAAATGCCCCCAGAGCCTGCATCTACAGCTCTGTGTGGGACTGCAGGCACAGGGCTCTGAAGCACCATGTGGGGAGTGGGGGACCACAGCCCCTACAGGACGCTTTGAAGTCAGAAGGTGCAGAGCTGTGTATGGGGCTGCAGAAGCAGGGCTCTGAAGATGTCCTCTAGAGGAGGTGCTCCTTCCAGCTTGGCATTTTAAAGTTAGCTTCTTCCCTGCATGGCACTTCAAAAGGATACCTGCAGCCCCTGCCCTCCCTCCTCCAGACCAAAGGGAACAGGGGGAAAAGCCCCCAAACTGTTCTCTTATGGAAAAGGCAGGGAGCATTGCTCCCTGGTCCCCTGCCCTACCCCCTTCCAGACTGGGAAGGAAGCATACAAATATTTGTCTTACGAGAGATGTTTTTGCAAGGGAGATCTTCCAGGTTGATGTCTGGAAATCTTCTCCTGGAAGGGGTATGTTTCCTCTGAGGGAGAAATTGAACAGACACTTGTACAATTATCATGTCTACTGGGAAAACAGTGATTCTCCTGGTAGAACTGTAATGCTTGTACATGGCCCCAAATAGAGGGGATTTGAACAGAGTTCTTTTATTCCCTAGGAAAAAGCCCCAACTACAAGGCTACACACTTGGCTGAACTGAAGTTAAGCCACTGGGAAGTCAAGAGGGAAGAGGAAGGGGGCTCAGGAGGAGGGTAACAGGACACCTGACTCTAGTCTAGTGAGATAACAACAGAGTGCAGAGTTATGGACTCTGGTCTTCACATTATTTAAGAAAATCAGTTATGAAGACACAATTGCTAGAAGTGCTGAGATATGGCCTATGAAGAATCCAAACAATATGTACATTGCAATCTGCAACGTAAGCGTGATGGACAGTAAATCTACTAAAAGCAACAATGCAAATGTTTCTTAAATAGACTTGGCAAAATAACTGCATTAATTTTAACCTGAAATCTCAAATTTTGCAGTACACTATGAAATCCTTTTCGTCAGCACCAAAAGGATTAATGCCAAATCATGTCACATTTAGAACTCCTTAGAAGAAACACCTTGGATAGATTTTAGACTTTAATATATAGAGCTGCACACATTTAAGAGCATGTAAGTAGGCAACGTGACGTGTCATATTTAGTCAATATTTGCAGCATATGTAATAATGATACCTAAACCTGAAACCATGGCAATGTAGTTCATTTGGATATAATATACCTAACATTCAGAATGAAAGACATCACTATAGCAGATTCACGCATTGTGCAAGCTATATTATACATGCATGCAAATATATTATAGACGCACAGTATGTTTGTTAGCATCTTAGTCTTTATAGTCCTGAAAAATGGAGTCATTTTATTTATGACAGTTCAATTAAAGTTCAAGCTACTCAACATCAACCAAGCCCTAGAAAAATCGTCTCTCTCTTGTGGCAGGAACATGCTTATAGTTTCCATGCCAACGTACTTCTGGCCTTCTTAGGAGGAAAAACTAATGTTCTGTTTTAAAGATGTGGTTATACTCTATATCCAATTAAGATAGATGCACCAGTCCTCCAATTCTTAACAGGGGCTTAAAACAGATTTCTTAACTGCTCTGTAGCTATACAACAGGCCTCTTAATGTCTTCAAGACTTAATGCATTGTGTTTAACCTAAATATATTTTCAAAGTGACTGCTCAACAAAAGGATTTATACATTTATGATATGGGCCATATTAAGATATAGTGAAATTATTAATTTCTCAGTGGAGTTGTATATGTTCTTATTCTCTGAATCTGATCCAAAATGTGCTTTAAAAAAAAATTCGATCAAATAATTGTGGTATAACAACGTGGTAGAGAGAGGGCTTGCATGGTGTTCTCAGAAAGCACTCCTTCACTTTGAAACTCATTTCCCAATTTGGTCTGAATGAGCTGAGCTAAACTGAACTGTTAGCTTTTAGACCATGTTGTAAAACCTTTTCTTGCTTTTTGTAAAGATGAGAGAGAGAAAGAGAGAGAGAGAGAGAGAGAGAGAGAAAGGTAGTAGTTATTCTTCATTACCAATTTTCCCCCAACTTTTTAAGTTAGGCAAGCATGTGAAATGAGTTGTAAATGGGTATATTTTATATTTAAGTGCTGCCAAGGTTGGAAAGGTTGTCTTGGTGATGAAACAAAATAAATCTTAGTTTCTTACCTGTTGCTTTCTTTCTTCTCTCATCCTTTTTGTCTTTTTTATTAGCAAATGAGTTTTCCAAAATAGAACCCTGTTTTAAATCTTCTTCAGTGATCAAATGAACAGGGTTATTTTTCATTTCCTGAAATAAAGATTATTCATTTAAATCTCAAATAGGGGTGCACTGATAAAGATTTTCTTGACCACTACCAATAGCCAATTATTAAGCAGCCATATCAACCCATACCAATCCAAGAGCCAGTTTACAGGAATGCACCCGGGCAGCTTGGAGAGCAACGCAGGCCAGTGCTGGGGCAGTACCCAGAGCAGGGGTGATGCTAGGGAGGGTTTTGGGGGCTACAGTCACCCCAAAATTCCCCACAGGGCCCCTGTAGCCACTCCTCCCAGTGCCGCCGCCGCATGCCCCAAGCGCAGCCCCAGCCCAGCCCCCCACCTGGAAGAGGCTGGCGCAGCCCCTGGCCCTGAGCCCACAGTGGGCAGCCTGCCTCTCAAAAACTGAAATCCAGAAACACAGCTTTCAGGTTCTCCTAGTGTTTCTTCAGCTTATTAACAGGACAAATTTTAAATCTCTGTAGAAGAAAAGATCTTTTCTCTTTATTTATACCTATATAAAATTTAAGTCATAAATAAAGTAAGACTAGATACTGATCCCAAAGATAGTTTTATACCAGTGATTTCAATTAAATTTTCATTTGGGTGTAGGTGATACCAGAATCAGGCAGTGTGTAAGACTATGAAACTTGTGTGTATGGATCAGTATGGTAGAATCTATAAATCTATTCCAATAGCAATTCATTTAACATAACTTTATAAAATTATAAATGATCATTAATTCTTTCATAAGTTATAACTGCATAATGCTTTACAGATGTTATGTTGTTAGGAATGTAAAGATGGCTGTGTAAAAATGGCACTTCCAAACGTCAGGCATGTAACTCAGTCACGTCTTGCAACTTAATTTTTCAGCACATTCAACACCACAACTTGGTCCTAAAATAATCATTCCTTGTGCTAGCATTTCCAGAGATCTCAAGACAGCTGTGGCAGCACATTCTTCTATGGCAAACAAAATGCAAAGTTGCAGGATCTTTCTAAGTGCTTGAAAGAACATACACAGGCCTTAAGTTTGCCAGAGCAGCACTGGGAAAAAAACATTTTTACTCAGTCCTAAGCAGAAATTTCTCTGAAAGTCAATGATAGACAAACCCAGAAAAATATTTACACAAGATGTAAATGATAACATACTTTTTCAGCTTTCTGGTGCATCAAGTCACGGAACAGATCAGTACAACTATTTATAAATTTCTCACTGACCACAACAGTGTCAATAAAAACTATAGCTGAAGATTGTTTGTTGAAAGATCTCATCACTTGCTGAAGCAACATCCCAGAATCTTCTACTGATAATGAACTGGGCAGAAGAGTCTAGAATTAAGAAACAGGTGGTTAGCTGAGTTAGTTTAAAGTCAGGCAGAAGGAGGGGCAGGGTGGCATTGCAACAATTGGGAGCCAGTTACCAGTCAGTGATGTTTTGGAAAAGTTTAACTGTTAAGTGCATTCGTACCTATAGAGACTAACTGGTTCAGAGATGCATGAGTTTCTATAGGTAACAATGTACCCTGTTAGATGCTATGATGAAGACAGCTGTTACCTACGAAAGATCATGTTTCTTAGTCCAGTGACTCTCATCCAGGGTGATATAGCACCCCAGAGTGCCGTGATATCCTTTTAAAGGTGCCATGCAACTGTTAGATGTGCAAACACCTACACATGATTCAAGAGATAACTCCAAAGCTTTCAAACAGGAATCCAGTGTTAAACAGAATCTGACCTGTAGTGATACTTCTGAGTTCTCTGCAACAGAAGAAATTCTCTATTTTTTTCCTATAGTCCAAAAATGAGCAAAAGCTATGAGCTTGTATTTTTCGAGGGGTGCCTTTTATCTAACCTAGTGTTTCTCAACCTCATTAGTCTCGAAGGTACTATCCTGCCCTACCTTATGCCTGACTTAAGAAACACAACTATTTTCATACACTTTAGTCTCTGAAGTGCTACCCTGCTTTACCTTGTGTCTGAATTAAGAAACAAAATCATTTGCATATACACTACATCACCAAAATCAGAAAGGGGCACTTACATGCATTTAGCAGACCTTCAGGCTTGCCATCAATACAACTGTTTAAAATATACTATGCTTCAAAGAGCCAAATCTGTCTCTTATGCATACACTATTTATAATCTTCAAAGATCCCAAAGGGATCTATGAAGAGTAATTAATTTCACATAGCAATGATATGCAGCTACCTTTGGGATGGAATGCAGCAAGTACTTCAAAGCACAAGCAAACAGACTAGGACAGAAAGTGAAGAATTCTGTATCTAAATAAAAAAAACGGGGGATTGCGCTAGATAGAATTCTACTACTAAAATTAGAATTTAGTTAGGATTCAGTGGGTAACAAACTGAAAAAGGTCCTAGAACCTCTTTAAAAATATTTTTTAAAACAACACCTCTGAACTATTTTTCTCCTTAGCAGAATACCAAAATACTGGTTCTGAGAAATTATCCAAAATGATTTTCACGGCAAATTTATTACCAGAGTATTGTAAATGCCTGAAGAACAGCTTAAGGGTCTTGCTGGTTACTGTATCTTAAGTTAACAAGAGAAGATTTAAGCAAATACAAGTACAGCCACATTAAGTTGCCACTTGACTAAACCCGGTAGAAATAAAACCCTCAGAAAAAGAGAGCATACCGCTATGTCCACCCAGGTTCCAGAGCTGATGGCTTCATCTACAGAAGCCTCCACTTGATCCACAATTCCCTGACCAACACAGGCTGCGCTCAGAAATAAAAGATGTGAAGACTTGTATCTTTTCTTTATGTAGCTCACGGGGTCTGGGATGCCAAGCCTGGACAATGCATCAAATTCTATAAAGTTACAAGAGGTCTCAAGTTTTAGCCATTCATTAGACTTTCAAAAACAAAAAAGAAAAAGAAAAAGTTATTCCCAAGCACATCTACATTTCTATGTCTAGCTTCTATTTTTTGAAGCAAAGACTGATATTAAAAGCTAATGAAGCTTCATGGAAAATCTAGATATTTAGACACCATCCCTCTGCTAATCTATTCATGATCCCTAGTAAAGTAATTTCAATCCTACATTTTACAAATAAGGAGGGACCCAAGAAACCAACTGTAAAGATAACTGGTCCAAAGGCAAAGCCTACTCAACCATGGTAAAGGATATCTGTGCTCCCACTGCCCCTTCCTAGTTAGAGGAATAAAAGTGGCACATTGTTTATGATGTATAATTTATATTTAACTACAATGCATCTTCAACATCATACTAATATACTGTACTAATACATTTTCCCCTCAGATGATTCCATTATCTTTTATCCTGGTATGTCTTTTTCTGTGTCTATTTCAGTCTTTAGTTTTATTTTTTACTCAACAGTCACATTTTCCACTCTACCTTTTCTATTTACTCCTCTCAAAATTTACTACCATAACATACTTTAGATTTATTTAAATCAGTCTCTTCTCATACCTATTCACTGTAGTCCTGATGACCAGGTTTTACAAATTTTAGACTTCAAAAACAGAAGGTTAAACATTCTAGCCAAACACAATCTAAACTGCCAGCTAGACTGAACGTACACAGACTCTGGCTCTCCCAGGAGATATTCTCCTGACACTGATTAACCCCTGCTTGTTCCCAGGTTATTTTTTCTCCGGGAATGACCATTTTTACTCTGGGAGAAAAATCCTGAACGTCTGTACACTCACGGTTTCTCCTAGGAGAGCAACAACTCTCCCAGCAGAAACTGAATGTCAGTATGTGACCTGTATTTGGTACCCAATTTCCATACTACACTGTAGTAATGTAGCATATAAATATTGTTCCTGTGCATATGTAACTTCTGGAAAAGCAAGCAGAATTAAGGTTGCCACCATGGCAATGTTCTTGGACCCTATAGTTCAGAGGTTGGCAAAGTTTTTGGCCAGGGTGCCAAAAAACACACCAACCTTGATCCCGGCCTCAATTTTGCATGCCACGGTCACATGCTGGGGGAAACATGAGGGGCCCAATTCTCATTGCTGGTGGTGGGTGCATGTGCATCACTAGGCAGACAGCAGGAGAAAAGCTGGGGTTCTGCTGTCCCTCCCCTGCTGTTTGTTCTGAGGTGCGTGTTCAGCTGCCACTACTGCAGAGCTCATCCGGAGCTCTGGACCCCGGCGTAGCTGTTTGCAGCCTGCCAGTGGCTTGCCATAGTTGGCTTGGGCTCTGGGTAGCTGCAGCACATGGTGGGCAGGCTGCAAACAACTGCACTGAGATCTGGAGCCGCGGCACTGGTTCTGTGGTGGCAGCAGCTGAACATACGCCTCCAGGAGAATGGTAGGGGAGAGGCCAGGGTTGTGCTGCCCTGGCCCCTTCCCCACCGTTCACCCCAAGGTGCGTGTGCAGCTGCTACCACCATGGAGCTGGTGCCAGGGCTCCGGACCCCAGTGCAGCTGTTTGCAGCCCCCTGGCTGCCCGCCACAACTGGTCCCAGCTCGGGCTCCAGGCAGATACTGCCTGCCACAGAGCCCGGGCTGCTTCCAGCAGGGCTTCCAGACTCTTGGCTGCTTGCTGCAAGCATCCTGGGTTCCGTGGCTGGGGCAGCTGTGGCGTGCCGAGCAAAACAGCCTCATATGCCATGCTTTGGCATGCATGCCGGGGGTTGTCGATCCCTGCTATAGTTCCATCTTTTTTTTTTTCTAAATGGCTGAAGTCCCCATAAATTCTCTACTTTTCATGCTTCTTGTCTGCTACAAGGGCTGCAAATCCACAGCTACACACCTCCTTCAGTCTACATGTCTAAGTTATCTTTTACAATGACTACAGACAACCCCCACTTAACAGTTTCGTTTAACGCTATTTCGCTATAACGCTCGTTGTACATTGATACCCAATTCCATTTAGTGTTCAGTGAGTTTTGTTATAATGTTCATGGGCATTGTACAGCTGGCAGCAGGTTTCTCTTAATGCTATTCCACTTAATGCTCAGTTTTTTGGGGAACCAACTAAGCGGGGGTTGCCTGTATTTCTATTTTCAGAAAAGTGAGGTTTGGAACAGCCTCTTAATAGGAGCAGCAAAATACCTAAATGGTTTTAGGATAGGCCTTGATCATTTAGGTACATGACTGTCCAAATTCTGGGCAGTGGGGGCTGCTTGTCCCGCAGGCCACATGTAGCTCACATTGTACACCATAGGAGCAGCCCTCCCAGAGTCCTCCCAGCCATGTAGGCATTTCGACCCCATTCCCCACCCACACCGCACTGTATGGGCAGCCTGACTTGACTGTGCAAAGACAGCATGCAGCAAGAAGCCCTCCCCAAACCTTCTCCCACAATGCCATATTGCCCCAGGAGTGGAAAACTGGAAGAGCTGCCACAGCAGTAGGAACAGTGAGAGGAATAGCTAGGCAGGAGTCCATGGAACACATATTAACCCCCTGCAGGCTCCATGTCATCCTTTGGCCACCATTTGGACAGCCCTGATTTAGTGATATGGCTGACTGATACCAGGAGACCAATGTCTCAAAAAATTTCTTCCAGTTCTCTGTTCTTATATGAACATTTTGTGTGTTATCCTCTCTTGAGGCCCATGGCTTTCATGAGCTAGTAGCAAGAAAAATGAATTACTTCTTACCAGCTGCACTGCTACCCATGGGGTTCTGAATAAAAAACGTGAAAATTGACATGGTTCTGGGAAATTTTTACTCTACTGCTTCTCAAAACTGTCTTAAATTGGAGCAATTAGGGCAATCTGCAGATTTTGATGGATAGCACTACACGGGTTATACTTAATCTATTTCTGGAAGGTGGCCTTCACAAACAGAAAGAACCTTTTTTTTTTTTTTTTTTTAATTGGAACTTCAGAGTTTAGATTCTGCAAATCACAGAAACATACAAACGTAAAGGAGGGGAGGGACCTATGGAGGCTATCTGGTCCAGCTCCCTGGACAAGGCAGGATCATTCCTATCCAAACCAACCCAAACAAATGCTTATCTAACCTATTGCTAAAACAAGATTAGCTGGGGTCATCTGACCTAAGTGCTCTTTTTTGCCTAGGGCAGGGGGTCAGACTTGATGACCTACTGAGGTCCCTTCCGACCCTAACATCTATGAATCCAAGACAAACAACCACGTCTCAAATGAGTGAGCTCATCAAATTCTGCTGTACATCACAAGCCCCACACTATGTGGAATTTTTCAAAATTTCCTTCTTTAGAAATTCATTTTTTCACTGTATACCTTTTAAAAGGCAGGATAGGCACCTTTATAGACTAATCAGATAAATCATAATCTTCTGTGAAATCATAATAATCTCCCTAACAATCTTTTGTTATGTCTGAGATTTATGAAAAGAAACAAGAAGTAGGAAGAGATGAATTCCGAAGCCCAAAAGAGGTCCTCATTTTTGGGGAACTGTAAGTAGTAGTGCGAGATGATAGAATCATAGAACCATAGAGTTGGAAAAGACCTCAAGTGTTACATAGTACAAGTCCCAGATTTGTAATGCCTAAACCATGAGGAAACGAGACAAAATGTTTTAAATATTTTTTCTTCTACATATTTAAATGAGGCTTCAGCAAGCCTTCGAACAAGCACATGACTTAATTGGCAAACTGTTCTGAAAATAGGAAATGATAAGTTCTTTAAATATGCAACATAGATGCAAAGCGAAAGTTAAATAAGGTTAAAGCTAACACTGCCCTCGGTTAAAATTAGTGGGGTTGTAGAAAACGAAAGAACAGGAAATAAAAGTCTGAAAAAACTGCCTCATGGCCTTTACAATCCATGGCCTTAACTTAGAGTGTTCCTCCTTTTTTCACTGTACTGCGCTATTAACTTTTAATTTCATAATTACATCTTCCAAGGGCATTTTTAAAGTAAAATAATGGATAGAAAGTACATTGTCTAATAGTATCTATGAAACAACAGCAGTTTTTTTCCTCAAGTCTTTCTGGTCACTCAAATACACATGCCCATGTAAGTACTTTTTTTAAATGCCTGACACAAAACATTGAAGCTCCAAGTTATTTATCCTTGGAAATTTGGAAACATACATTGCTCACAGTACTATAATGTATCTAAAAGATACTCCATAGTTTAAAAAGAAAAAAATAGAATTAAACAGTTAATAGTAACCAGATCAAAGTGTTCTGAGTCCTTTGAAAAAACAAGTCTCCAGGTTATTGGAAGGACTGTCCTTTTAAAATAAAGGAACTTTAAAACAGCACTTCATTACTTTATCTAGAATACAATTTCCATCTTGGGAACAGCAGGCTCTCGTCACTCAAGACTTGGGCATCACTTATGCCTGCTACCCCTCACGCTCCAGTCAATCGATTGATAGATCAATAGAACCATGAGTAGACTGCTACCTCCCCTCCTGTAAGTAAACAGGTTATCTTTACTTCTCTCAACAATGAAGCAATATATATGACTACAGCGAAACTGTCTTCTAGTTAGGCAAGTTCATAGGCAGCACAGCTTGCAAACCTAGTAGTTGCAACCGGGCAGTTTTAGATGCTTATATTTTGAAAGGTAAGACCAAGCCTTTACCAGAGGAATACAAACTACTGTTGTAGCATTTTATGTATTCTCATAAAGCTCAGTCATAGACAATGGCCACACTAGGGTTCATTTAATTACCTAAACCTAAGGCCCTTTATTCATAAAAAAAATTAAGATCAGTTACCTAGGTAACCGTTCTGCTTGAAAAAGGAATCAACCCAGTTGCTCTGTGTCCTGGCATAGATATCTGGAACAAACACTGCCTTATCCTGTCTCCCGCCAACCACTGTGCCTTTCAGACGTCCAGTGTTAACAAGTTCCTCTAACACAGCTGAAAGATAAAAACACACAAAGCAAGTTTGAATAAATATATGCATTACTAAATATATTCCAATTATTTTTCCTTATTATTTGGTTTTCTTGCATTTATCCATAAGGATTTTTCTACTACCCATTAATTGAAAGAGAATAACAGACCTACAAGCAACTGTTGCACTGAAAGGGTATTTTTAAACACTTCTGGGAATTCCCTGATGAGAGCTCTGGCAAATGTACAGATCAAAAGAACAAAGCTACACTGACGGGATCAAAACTTAGAACACTGTAGCTCTGAAGTTATGAAACATAAGTCAAAATGCTGTTTCTCCTAGCCAACAAATAAAATACATGATGATTTTATTACTATGTTCTACAGTAATAAATATTTGGATGTTACTAATGACAAAAAAGGCACAAAGGTTTTAACATGAGCTGATAGTGAAAACATCCGAGATACAAAACGCTGTCCAACTGGTAACTATAGCTGATTGTGGCAGGGCACTGTTTGTACCTGCCACTTCAAGGGCCTGAGACAGCAGCTGGCAGGGGCCTGATGAGGGCAGCCATTTTT